CCCTGACCACGCCCAGTTCTCTAGTTTTTGAAAACTGCACAGAGGACGCTCAGATACAGAAACAGGGACGCGCTTGGACAGGCCGCTGTCCCTGGCAGCCCAGTTGGGTCTCCAGCAAATGCTCCGACCTCAGAGGGAGCACCGTGGGATCCGCCCTTCCTCCCCCCCACCTGCACCGTCGGGACCCAGCGTGGGTGGCCCCACGGCGGGAGTCGGCCCCTCCCTGGATGCCACAGGCCTCAGTGAGACCAGAGAGGCTGCCAAGTCTCACCGAAACTTCCTGCCCCAGCCAGGGCTTGCTGGCTGGGTGGGGCCTGAGGCCTGCCAGGCCCCGGGAGGAGAGTGGGCAGCTGTCCGGGTCACCCGGCGCAGGAGCCGCGGGGGACGGCGGTACAAAGACACGGGGAAGGGACCACCTGCGTGTCTTCAGTCTTTTATTTGACACACGTTCAAAATGCCCCCTGTGCCTAGAACCCAGACTGTGGACCTTGGAGCTCCTGCCGTGAGTTCACCCAGGGGGAATGAGCCTGACACCACTGGGCTCAGGACTCAGGCCTAGGACAGGAGCACAGTGCTGGACAGGGCCCAGAGGGAGCTGGGGGCTATTATTGGAGTATCAGGAATGGCTCTGTAAAAATGGGGCGCTGAAAGCAGGCCTTTGTAGGATAAATAGGAGTTTGGAGGAAAAACAAAAACAAAACCAGAAGGGCCTGTGGGCAGAATTCAGGGAGACCTCCGGAGGAAAGGAGCGAGGATGAACTTGTGGGCCTGTGCATCCTCAGCAGCCTGACCCTCAACACCTTCTGGGATGACTGCTGGCCGCCACAGGCCTGGAGCCTCCCCGGCCGTCACTTTTCTCTGTGGGTCACAGTTCTGTCCAAAGTGGCTTCTGATGACTGTTGGAGAGAGGCCACATGCTTTCCAAACTGCGGCTCTGGGACCTCAAGCCAGACCCAGGGCCTCCGTGGGCCTCGGTTCTACAAAAACAAGATGCAGGCAGCCACTTGGTGCTGTTTACATGCTACAGGCTGGGAGGCCTTGGATCAAAGATGGGAAGAGAAGGAGGGAGGGGGGAGGGAGGAGAGCAGGGGAGGGAAGGCTGCTGGACGGGCACCAGGGGACAGGCCCTACATTATTATTTCTGAACATGCCAGGGCTGTCGGGCTTAAGGAATGAGTGGTGATTTGCATGCAATTTGCATGCAATTTGCATAGTGTTTGTTAAATGTCAAAAAATGCTTTCTCTTGCCCCCCCAAGTCAGCCCTCCCCCCCCATCTCTCCCTGTGGCTAGGGCCAAGGAACCCCACAGGGACTTTAGCTCCCCCCCCCACAGTCGAGCAGTGGAGACTGGGGAGGCAGAGGGGGGCCCAGACCCCCAGGACCTGGTGCAGCTGTGCCTGCCCAGCAACCCAGCTCCCCAAGGCCAACAGTCAGTCCCCACCTGCCCAGCTCTGCACCCCGAGGCCTGTACAACTCTTAATTAAAACGCAGTTTCCTTCTGGGCTCACCATGCAGTCCGCAGCACCCGGGGGGCACACAAAGGCCCAGCACGGCGCCCCAACACCGAGGCTGCGGAGCGGAGCAGCCACAGTGTGCGCCAGATCATTTTGCACATGCGCGGGGTCACCAAGGCCCCCCAGGATCAGAGTCTCCTTGGTCAGGAACCCAGCAGCTCCTCCTGGAGCCAGCGCTGTTCACAGCTGGAGCCCTGTGGGTCCCCAAAGAAGGAACTGCATCTGTTGACTGGAGGGCTTCCTGGATGCAGGGGTGGCAGAAGATCAGGTGGAGGCTCCCGGGAGAGGGGAGGGTTCCAAGGCCACGGAGAAACCATGACTCCTCGCTGGAGGGCTGGAGGGCAGCATCCGGGAGGCAGCGGGCATCAGCAGGGCCGGGGTGTCGCATCTACCTGGGAGCCCAGCACCTGGAGCCGCAAGGGACATGTGGTCCCAGGGATGTGAACCAGCAGCTCTCAGGCCAATGGCGCTTCTTCCCTTTCCCCAGTGGCCTGGATCTGGGCATGTCAGGGGAGTGCAGGGGTCACCCATGACCCTGGACCCCTTCTCCTGTAGACAGCCCGAGTGCTTGGAGCCCCTTGGTGGATGCCACAGGAATTGCAGGTGAGGCTGCCTTAGCGCACCCTGGTGGCTGTTACCGGAATTGCAGGCCGAGCACATGCGGACACCCTGCCAGCCAAGCGTGGTCAGCCTGGGCCTGCATCCGGGTAAGGAGGCCAGAGGGGAGCAGGGCATTTCTCAGGGTCACACAGGAAGCTGGGGGCAGCAGTGCTGAACCAACGCTAGGAAGCGGGAGGGTGATGACAGTGTGTCCATCCTGCAGGCCCTCAGTTTCCCCACCTGTGGATCCCACCACGTCTGCGGCCCCCATTGGAGCGGCTTACCTGGAATAAGGCTGGGTTCCCAGGAAGAGAGAGCTGTGGTTCCCTCTGGCCCAGCTTGCTCCCTCAGCCAGCACCTCGCGTTCCCAAAATCATGGCTCCGTCTCCTCCAGCCCCAGCTACCTGCGGGGCAGAGAGACGCGAGGTGAGGATTCAAGCAGCCATCGCTCGGCTTCCAGGCCTTCCCAGCCAGCCCAGGGCCCAGCTAAAGTGTCTTCGTACCCATGGAGACCCCCCCAGGCCCCCTGGCCCACGAGAGGCCCTCTGAGCAGTCTCCCCACCGGGTTGTGACCGGCTCGAATGCGCAGCGGCCCCCAGGGCTGCTGGCCCAGCCCACCGCCAAGGTGAGCGGACAGACACTGAATGAGAGATGGAGACAGACAGATGGAGACATGAAGAAACATGGTGGGGGGGGGGTCGGGGGCGGTGCAGAGAGACAGAGACCAGGCAGATGGAGAGGGAGATGCAAAGACAGAGTCAAGGACACAGAGAGGGGAGCAGAAAAGGGAGCTAGCACCACAGACCAGCAGAGCTAATGAGGTAGAGAGGAAGAGGACCTGGCCACCGGGGTCCCCCTCACCCCGTCCCTGAGCCACCACCGTCCCGCCAGGACATTCTCCATGAGCCAGAGCCAGTGATCCTGCCAGGCCCTCGCCCAGGCCCCCAGCCCAGGCCCCCAGCCCAGGCCCCAGCCCAGGCCCCCAGCCCAGGCCCCCAGCCCAGGCCCCCAGCCCAGGCCCTCGCCCAGGTCCCCAGCCCAGGTCCCCAGCCCAGGCCCTCGCCCAGGCCCCCAGCCCAGGTCCCCAGCCCAGGTCCCCAGCCCAGGCCCTCGCCCAGGCCCCCAGCCCAGGTCCCCAGCTCAGGCCCCCAGCTCAGGTGCTCACCCAGGCCCTCGCCCAGGCCCCCAGCCCAGGTCTCCAGCCCAGGCCCCCAGCCCAGGCCCTCACCCAGGCCCCCAGCCCAGGCCCCCAGCTCAGGCCCTCGCCCAGGCCCCCAGCTCAGGTCCCCAGGCCAGGCCGTCGCCCAGGTCCCCAGCCCAGGTCCCCAGCTCAGGCCCCCAGCCCAGGTCCCCAGCCCAGGTCCCCAGCTCAGGTCCCCAACCCAGGCCCCAGCTAAGGTGCTCACCCAGGCCCTCGCCCAGGTCCCCAGCCCAGGTCCCCAGCCCAGGCCCTCGCCCAGGTCCCCAGCCCAGGCCCCCAGCCCAGGCCCTCGCCCAGGCCCCCAGCCCAGGCCCCCAGCTCAGGTCCCCAGCCCAGGCCCCCAGCTCAGGTCCCCAGCCCAGGCCCTCGCCCAGGTCCCCAGGCCAGGCCCTCGCCCAGGCCCCAGGCTCAGGTGCTCACCCAGGCCCTCGCCCAGGCCCCCAGCCCAGGCCCCCAGCCCAGGCCCTCGCCCAGATCCCTGGTCACCTGGGGTCGCTGAGCAGCAGCAAGACGGAGCCGTCCTGCAGGCGCGCCTCCCGCACCGTCTGGTGGTCGGGCAGCGGCCTGGCGTTGTAGTAGAAGGTTCTGCGCCACGAGCTCACGCCCTGGCCCACGAGCTGCGCGCGCAGGTCGCTCAGCGTGTCGCGGGGCCGCACGGTCAGCGGCAGCAGTAACGCCTCGTCGGCCAAGTGCACCTTGATGTGGTAGCGCTTCCAGCGCGACAGCCCGCGACGCAGCCCCTCCATGGCCGCCGCCGGCCGGAGACTCCGCGGCCAGCACCTGCCAGACCGGCCGGGCCACCCGCCCCCGCCCCTCCCAGGCACGCCCTGCCGCAGGAGCATCCCAGGGGTGCGAGGAGGAGGCGGGGTGGTGACGCTGGCTGGCCCAGCCCCGGCCTCCATGGCGACCTTTCCCCCTGTGCACAGCTTGCGTGCGCAAAGGCCCTGGGGCAGAGAAGGTAAGCTGTGTACAGACCCCAGAGCAGGGGGGAGCCTGGTGAGCTGGAGGGGCGGGGAGTTGGCCCTTGCTGCTGGAGTGGAGGGAGCAAGGTTAGAGAGGGAAGCAGGGCAGGCCGTGTACCCAGCCATTACCAGAACTTTCTCCCTAATCTGCACTCACTGGCTTTGCGCTGGTGGGCCCCAGAGAAACCTCAGCCTTGGGCCTTGGCCATGCACGGTCCTGGTCTGAGTAGAGGGGAGAGACCCCAGATGGGTTTGGGCTGGGAGAACGTCATTCACGCGGCCATCGGAGCTAGGTCTTCAGGGGATGGCGAAGAGTTCACACTCCCATTTGCCCACAGTCACTACCCAGCCTAGTTCAGCGAGGGCCTGGTGGGGAGGCGGAGCCGCGCCTCCTGGTCCGCACAGCCGTTTTGGAGGTGCTATCATGTCAGGGCGCTTACACAAGCGCACCTCTCCCCTGCCCTCCCGCGGACAGGATGGGGCAGTTTGTCCTGTGACACACTCACCCTGGGCCTGGTCACCGGCGGCCCTGTCTCTTCCCGGGTCTCAGTGTCTCTGTCCACTGCTGCCTTGTAAGATGATGTTGTCACAGGACTTCTGACACACACTCACCCAGGAATGGCTGTCCAGAGAACATTCTAGAAGGTGTTAAATTTGACTCCACAGAGAAAAACAGACAAAACATTCTAAAAATTCAGCACAGGTGACATTTTGGCGGCCCAGCCTTTAATCCCAATACTTGGGAGGTAGAGGCAGGGAGATCCCTGTGAGTTTGAGGACAGCCTGGGCTACATAGTGAGATCCTGACTGCCCCCCCGCCAAAAAAAGCAAGGAGACTACACAGGAAAAGCATACATCTTATTTTTTTCCAGCTTTGTGTGTAAATATTTTAAAAATCCTTCAGCTTGGAGTGATTGTATATTTACAGGAGAGTCACAGACAGCACAGGGAGCCTTTCCTACCCTCGTCTCCCCGACGATGACCTTATATTAACAGTGTGCTTTAAGCAAACATCTCAGTGTGCTGTGTAGGATGACATTAAATCCAGGAGCCTTTAATTAAAAGATTAATAACTGACAACACATAAATATAAAACACCTGCCCACAAACACTTCACACAGGAAAACAGGAACTAAGCCAATGAAAACTCCGACAGTCAACAGACAAAGCCTGACTTCCACAGCATATAAAAAGCTTCTGGAAATCAACAAGAACCAACAACAGATTTAAAAAATGAATAGAAGACATAAAATGTTTATGAAAAGGTCATTCATATCTTCTATGTAAAACTTGGCATGGAATCCAAGACTGGGCACATGATAGGAATATGACAACCCTGATCATGCCCCAGACCCTCACTGGGAATTCTAGGCGGGGCCCCACCCTGACCACGCCCCCAGCCCCTCACTGGGGGATTCTAGGCGGGGCCCCACCCTGACCACGCCCCCAGCCCCTCACTGGGGGATTCTAGGCGGGGCTCCACCCTGACCACGCCCCCAGCCCCTCAC